ATTATTATTGCAAAATTAAGACTATATAAATATACCCCCTTTTAAATAAAAAAAAAAAAAAAAAAACGTTTAAACGGCTTCGACGTGCAAGAACGGTGTACAATATCAAGTACATCAAAGTGAGAAATGGGATTAAATCTCTGATCCGTCATGGCGATGCCTTTTTCCATTCATTTTTTTTTGTTTTTTTCTTTTTGGAACAAACAAATATGTATTAAACAATCGGGATGAAATAACCGAACCTGTTAATTTATTAGAATCATGAATTAAAATCAATCCTCATGACAGCTGCTAGAGGCTAGGTTGCTTTGAATGGGCGGCAGTAAATCATCATCGAACTTTTGTGCCCAATGTATAAGCTTGAGCGTATTGGATAAAGATAAATCATAATTTAGAAAATGCAAAAATTCCAATTCCATGCGCAAAATTTGAATATGCCTTTCACTGTGGTTAACGGTTGCAGCAGCGGGCGCAGGAGAAGGAGATGAAGATGATGCTCTACCTTGCCGTAATTCAGAGGTTGTATTATCAGTGTTTGTATTTTTAAAACTGTCAGAGGCAGATGATTGGAAATAATGATAATTAAGTGGATCAGAAGCAAACGCTTTGGGTGAAGTAGGTGGTGATGGTAATTGCTCTTGTCGTTCCTGATTCTTTGCAGTGATAGAAGGGAGATGCTGGGTATATTTATTAATGGTTGATCTTTCGGCAGATATGTTGTTGAAGGGCGTCGTGCTAGTAAGTGAGACTGATGGAGATATTGTCGACAAAGTCGAGGCTGTAACTGTTGTATTGATAATTGATCGAAGATTGACATGCATGAATTTGGCTGCCATCATGTATGCAACTAAAATAAGGCGGTGCCCACAACCTGTAGTGCCTTTGATGTTGTGATATTTCTAAATGGAAGAAAAACGTCAATAAGCAAATTCAGGGACACAACTTTCTTATTTATGTATACCTGGTTCAATCTCTCGATATAGCCAATAGCCATCAATAAAGTGATACTGGGTGAAACCGAGTGGGTAGGGATGTCATTTCGACAAAACTGTTTCAATGCTTCATCAAATGGTTTATCAGGGCAGAGCAAAGTAGAATTCATTAAATTTGTCATCAGCTTAGCAAGCGCTTCGATCTTTTCTTGTTCAGGGTTGGTTTCCCAAGCTTTTGCTACGAAACTAGCAAGTTGCACTAATGAATTTTTGTTGAGTGAGTATAGGATAAACAATTAAGCTTCTTCGAGTCGACATTTACAAATGCATTCTGAACTCAATCTACGTCTACCATTCAATTGAATTGCTTGTAACAACAAACATGCTTGACCGTAACTTGAACTGTAAGTTGCATCCAATCTGTGTTTCCTGTTGTTGATCTTGTTTTCATAATTGCTATAAAATGATCTCACTTGATATGTATCTATGCGACCATTAGGACGATTATACAAGTTGAGTTTAGCTTTCATTAAGATATGGGCAATGTTTGTCTGATTTAATTCAAGAATAAGAAGGGTGAAAAAAAAAAAAAAAAAAAAAAAAAAAAAAAAAAAAAAAAAAAAAAAAAAAAAAAAAAAAAAAAAAAAACTTGGTTTATATACCATTTGTTCTGAAGAACATTAAGAATCACAATATTTCGACGGATCTAAAAAACAAAACCCTTCACTTTTCTCTTTACATTTTTACGGACTTTGTTAACATTTTGATTCTGGTAATATTTTGATGTGCAAGAAATTGTTACATGATTCTAATTTAAATGAACAGTTGGCTTCTTTCATTTAATAATACAAACACAAATAGCCTCGAAACTTGGTCCCAAAAAATCCGTATCAATGAAAATCAGCTTAAATAAAACATCCGTTTTTGCATGAATACTGCCAAGCAGTTAAATCTGAGAATTTCTTTATGGCTGGCTGGAAAACCAAAATGCTTAGCAATAAATATATAGTAAGGCATGGGATGGGTCAATACATTAACCGGAGTTCATTCCAACCAAATTCATCAGTTTCCGCTGCACTTTTTTTCTCCCTTTTATTAGGGGAGCCGGCCGATGGCTCACGCCACTAAAATATCACTTTCTAACAATTTGAAATAAAAGTAATTAAATTCTTGTAGTCAAATTGAACGTTAAATGATAATGAATTCCAAAGTCTACATGTATGCGTAAGGATGAATAAGTAATTCTTATGACCATAGGTATTTAGGCGATCAAATGGAATATTCGAAATCGGAAATAAATTTGTAACTAGATATTATATAATGAGGAAAAGGGAGCATCGGAAGTATTGCGACTCATTCCGCGCATTTCAAGTATCCACAACATCATCAATATAGTAGCATCCCCGTTATTACCATGAGTTTCCTTTCTCATACGGCATATATCGTTACAATAATGATATCATATATTCACTTTTCTTTGTTGGTGCAATTTAGAAATTGATAAATGATTTACAAATGAAAAGAAGTACATAACGTCTTCAGTGTCAATTGACGTCTCTGATTCAGCCAATCTGCGCATTTGACTAACCCAAAATTCGCGATGCTGGAAAAATGTTTTACAGCTAAATTTTGTAAATTTCATTATTTGGCCACTTCTTTTAAAAACTAAAGAGCTGGTTAGCACCGCTTCGCGAAGCTTGCTAAGGTTCATCATGTTCATATTTTTGTACACGAAAGAAAAAAAATTATTGTCTTGGATGATGAGCAAAAGGCAGTGATTTTGCAGTAGAATATCACAATGTAGCTCGTAACATACGATAACAAAGATCCCCGATTCTGTTGTAATCAAATAACCCCACTACTTTTTTTTATCGTATGAGAAGATTGATTTTCTCGAATGTGCAACAGGTTGTGAAATAATGCTTTCAAAAGCTGTTTGTTCAAATATCAAACGTTCTTTTCCCCTAATGCCAGTTAGAAGAGATTTCAACAAGATGGCATTTATGCTGGTTTAGAAACCGAAGTTTGCGATATTATGGCCTTGTAATCCTAGAGACCCTTTTATGACTCTTTTTATTTCCTGGTTGTTAAATGCAGGAAGTTCGTGAACAGTGTTACGTAAGATATTCTTGCAAAACTATAAACAGAGTATCGGCACCATGTCTGGAGCATTGATGAAATTTCTTTTTTGTCTGTTGCTTAGTAGTTATCTATTCTTCTGAAGAGGTTAACCTTGGTTTTGCTAATATTTCGCCTAATTGCGCTTCTCCCAAATGTTTGAAATTCGAATCAAGTACCACATAAAAACACATGTCATACAGGCAGTAGCCAGCTAGTGACATAATTACAAAGCACCAATGCATCAAAACCGTATCATTTTCTACTTGCAGTAGACTTTATGTCTAGCAATACTTACCTCCAAGCTTACCAACTCTTTAGTTACAATATCCAATTAATTTAAAGCAAAGTAGTAACACTAGTGCCTTCCAGCGAACAACATCGCACCAAGCCTACTTCCTGCCCCTAAAGTATTCAAAATATCCAAAATTACAAAATAAAAGGCAGATTGTGAGCGCACTCAAAATTACAAAGCTTTCTATAATTCAAATTGTGACAAACACAGTGCGACAGTTTAATATGAAAACACCCCCACTTTTATAAATAACTAAATTAATAATAAGGCTCAAACAATGGGGAACACTGGCGAACAACGGCGAACAACGGCTAATATTACAGAAGATGATCCACGCTGGAAGGTCGTCAGCTCTGCTAGCAATGTATGAGAGATCGTACCAAAAAGCAATTGTTATCAGCAGTGATATCAATAAACAGATAAAGGCAATAGCCAATGCCATAAACGCTATGGCCAGTAACCAAATGGAAAAGGGATACTTTAAATTGGGTGCACATTAGACGGGTGGATTAAGACCAGCAGTGAGTTTGCAGTGGTATGGAAGCTGAGATCCGATCCAAGAAACGACTGCCAAGACAACAGCGTAAACCATTATATTCTATGGATGCAACAAAGGAGGATATGGAAAGGCTGAAGATTGTGATGTAAACGCACTCATAGTGATATTTCATGCTTATATTTGGATCTATTTAGCATGGAAGGCCTCTATATTGTTACGGACAATGCTGCGACTAGCCAAGTTCAAAAGCATATAGCGTGCCTTATTGTATATACCGGTCTATTTGAAATGCAATGACAATCTGAAAGACTTGTAGAAAATTTAGGGTTTATTGACAGTAAAGTAAACACATAAAGCCTCTAACAACGAACTACACGGGCCACATACTTGCCGTTTGTTAATCCTATTGAGCTTTTTTTCTACTCAAAAACAACGGTGGTATTAAGGCAGATTCTCTGGCCGCAGATGGCCACACCATTGAATCAACCGAAACAGAATCTATCGATGATGACAGTGTAAATTGGGTAAGCCATTTGTATTACTATTTTTGATAGATACCCGGCTTTTAAGCCGGTACTCTGAGGGAGTCCAATTGTTGTCGTGATATTATTAATTATAATTAATTAATTAATTAATTAATAATTAAAAGATGACCTTTATCGAATTGATAAATAATTTGCTATTTATATCAGAGCTCTTTGTTGAGAATTAAAAGAAATAATTTAGATTTACATGAGTGTCAATTGATCGAAATGATTACGACAGCACCACGAGAGTAAACCCTTTTGTAAGTCTTCCTGCCCTCATTAAATTGTCGTGCGCAGAGATATGATAGTTTCGTGTTATGTTTTGACAAGTGTATTTAAAGTATAAAGTAAGAGATGAAAGACGATATTTATTTTTTTGTATTTCAATTGATACTGTATTTATAATATTTAAAAGGGTTGTCGTGTGCAGAGAGATATGCTCTAGGGTAGATTATAGGGAAGTATATAAAAGACAATAGATGGGATAAAAGATGCCTTTATTATTTTAAGATACAATTAATATTTATGCTTATCAAAAAGGTTACACACAAAATCTGTGTGTGCCTAACAAAATATTCATAAACTGAAACCTTTCTGTTATTTTCTGGAGAAATGAGAAAATAAAAAAATGCCACCAGCGTGGATCGAACACGCGACCTTCCCTTTACGAGAGGGACGCTCTACCACTCGAGCTATGGTGGCTTCGGCAACGTGCGAGGTTTTAAATGTAATATCTTGTAAGTAGTGCGTAAAATATAGAGCTAAAACACGTGATATACACTATGCAATGCTCAGGCAAATCTGCTTTTATCACAGAATGTTTATGTTGGTGTGGGGTGGTTTTATATCAATAACATGGCAAGGTCTCACATCAGGATCTCAGATCAGTCCCAGGGTCTTATAGTAAATCATGGGTAGTAATGATTTACATTATGCAGCTAGACAGTAGAACCCTAGTGTAATGAATGTGTATATGATATACATCGTGAGAGATGTATTCTGAATAAAAGTGTAATTCTTTGGCAGAGTTATTTTATCAGACTTTTGACATAACTGCAGTAAATTTGAAAGATTTACGAAATATGATGTATACGCACTGCTACATCTTCACTATATCAATCCCTACTGAGAGTTATATGAATAACGATTATTTCCAAAGACAATTAAATAAAGAGACTACAAGCGATTATATCACGGAGAACGTAGGGTCTTTATTAAA